CCCTACATTACCTTCTCCCTCCCAAAGCATGCAGGAGCAACTAGGAATCATACCTCGTTCTTCTTGATCTTTGAAATGCCACCAGTAGCCCTTGGATGGGTGATAGCGACAGTAGGACATGGCTTCTTCAAAAGCAGACTGAATTCCATGCACTGCAGTGAGCTTTCAGAAAAAGAACATATGGCAGCATTCAGAATTTAAAAACAAATACAGTATAAGTTTTTGAAAGCAGAGATTTAAAATTAGTATTCTATATTTGTTTTTGGTCTGGGAAGGGAACTTGGGACATCCAGTTTTCTGGGACATCCATCTCTTTAATAGAGATTACATTCCTGTAACATTTAAACGTTCCTTTACATTTAAAAGGTCTTACAAGACCTTTTCTGAAGTGCTTGCCTAAAATGACAGAAAAAAACTTGCAGAAGTAGTAGTTTACTAGAACAGAAGAAACCAAAACAAACCCAAGTATCCAATTTAAAAAGAAATACCACATTAACTTAAAAACATAAGCGTCATTTAAAGAGAAATATTACATTATTTTAACATTATCATTCCAAAGCAAGCTTCGCTGGATATGTATTTAATTACTATTTCATATGTATTTGGCATTTAACTTTTCTTTTGATTATTCAAACCTCATGTTGTTCTGCCAATTGTGCGGATTCAGTTATTCTGATCCTTCATCCTCAAACAACGTATCCTACTATTTGGACCACTCTCTCTGGATCTTTAATTTCCATGTGGGGCACACACCATATGGGTTTGTTTTAAGTTACTGTGTACTACACAAGATCTTTCCTCAAAAGACTGAAGGAGCAATTGGAACAGTCTGAAGAACAATCAAAAGTAAAAGCAGATACAAACTGCATCAAATGCACAGAACACTTACAACTCTGGAGTTAATGACAGACCCTAAATCAGGCGCCTGATAAATCACTCCGGCAATAATATAGTAGTCAGCCATCGGAATAACTGTGGGGAGAAAAAAGAAAAAAAAAGCAGGATCAGTTTAGTACTCTGGCTGAAGGCTGTGTATTTGCTGCTGAATTTCAGTAGTAACAACAGAAATTGCAACATTCATCTCATTAACAAGTTTTTCTCTTTTTAACTTTTTCCTTCAAGGTGCTTTATTTGCACCCTAGCCACAGACTGATAAGAAGGAGGAAAAAAAACAAGGGCTGCTTTACAGAGAGAAAAGCATCAGCTTTAAGTCCTGTTCTACTACAATCAAATAACTGACCTTACAAGAAGGGTTTTCAGAGCTACACAAGAAGAGTGCACTGGAAGTAGTTCCACTTGCCTTTGCTATTGGTAGAAACCCACAAGAACATAAGATCTCATTCTTCTGGCCTCAGCTTTCTTCAATTTGTGCAGTCCTCTTAGCTAGATTTCCCAGACCCAACAGCAGCTAAGCACACACAGACTATGCCTTTCTAAATTAATAACATTCTGCCAAAAAAGACAGCCTTCCAAAGGCATTTGCTAAATTAGATTTGGAACCTCTACTGACCCATCAGAAGTTCTTGTTCATTAGAGCTGCAGTGCAGAGGAACATCACAATTGTCTTCATAGTACTTTGCCAAACATTCTTCAGTTGAGAAACTCTAGTGAAGCTATCAGCCTCACATCCCTAAGGATCTTACCTGTGCACAGATTTGTTCCAGTTCCTCCATCTGTATTAAGACATTCTATCTCAACTTTTTTTACTGACAAGACCCAGTTCTTCCAGTACTTGCATTTTGTGAAGCTGGGACACCTGCCTAAATTAACAGACCAAGACAGCTGGGTGCATGTTACAGCCAGTACCAACTTCTCCTCAAAAGAAAGAGGATTCTCAGCATTTCCTTACAAGTGGAGCAAGACACGGAACAGCAGCTTTACTGTCTCACAGCTCTGTACCAGAGCAGCCTACTTTCTTATACAGGTAACTCTTACTAATCATTGGATCTAAAGATTTTGCCAAAACGTCTTCAAATGGCAAAAACAGCTTAAAGAATTTAAAATATCAATATACTTTAAAAAAAAAAAACAAACACATAGAAGTTATAAGACCGGCCTACACCAGTTCTACCTGAGTACTCAACACCTGCTGTGAACTCATTAAATTTGTCTTCCATCCTCATTCTCGTGTCTCAAATACAGTAATATTTGTACCATGATAAAACGAAATACATGGGTAACATTTGAGCTAGGGAGCTATGTGACTCAAGGAGGAGCATGGTGAACAGGACGGGCAGCCAGGGCGTGGTGTGGCAGTTCGCGGGAGAAGGGCACTGAGGCGCTGATTACCCAGGTCAGCGAGGAATGGTGTACACTCGGCAGAGACCTGCTGCCTCACCAAGAGCTACACCCACCATGACCGATGCAACT